CAATTTTTGATGATGGCACACAATGATGTTTTGATTTGATTTGAGAGTAAGAAAAGATCCCCCTCAAGTCATGCTCCCTGAATGCATTTCTAAATACATAGGTTATCACATGTGTAATAAATAAGTTTTAATTGGAGACATGATATGAGACTAAGATATCAAATTATAAATATATAATCATTAGATTAGTTTTCAAATAATACCAGAATTTGAAAATAATACCATAATACATAACATCATATAATTTCTCCCCCTGTGACATTATCAAAAGGAAATCATGGGTTAGAATTTGGAGGAGGGGGAGGAAAATGATAGTGATAAATGGCATGAAAAAATAGATAATCAATATATAGCTATACAATATATATACATATATGCATACTCATACAACTCTACCGCGTCTTTCTCTCTCTTCGCAAAACGCGGTTGTCACGCGGCTTGGCTTTTGCTTCAATGGCCGACAAAAGCAGCTCTCCTCGATTGCCGCTCGCCTCGGCTATCTCTCCCTCCTTGTCTTCTTCTCTTCAGCCTTCTCCTTAATCACACTCGTCAATTTTCTTCTTCACCATTCTCTTCTATCTCTTCTTCACCACTCTCTTCTGTTTCTTCACAACTCATTTCTTTTACACCTCTCACCTCTAAACCATGGCTTCCTCATCCTATCCCCTCACTCTGTTTCCGAACCTGAACGATCCCATAAGCTCGGCTGGACCGATTGCCTCTACTCCTACTCTTCCTGTCATTTCTCTTCCTGACCTTCTTATGATGTCGATTAAGTAAATCATGGCAGCTCAATCTGACATAAAAGCCAATCATTTCACACTAACGTCCTGTATGGAGATGGTGACGGTAGTCACAAAATTGGCTCACCGATTGCAAAACAGAACGAGTGAGCTCCAGCAGGTCAACGCCCAACTCTCTCTGCTCCAGCGCATGTACAAGGATGAGCGAGCAGAAATAGGCGCACTGAAGGCCAAAAATAAAGAGCTTAAACAGAAGACCACCTCCATGGCCCTATTTAGAGCAATGTCATTCTTGGCCTTTGATAGTCAGCAGGGAGTCGTCGCTCTTGACGAAAGCACGGGGGTAGGGGCGTCAAGGGTCGCCCATTGTGATAAAAAGAAGAAGAAAACGGTGGAAGAGGCGAGTAAGTGAGGTTGGCGTATGGCGGGAAAAAAATGAAAGGTTGTTTTTTTTTTTTTTTTTTTTTGGAAATTTTTTTATTTTTTGTAATTTTTTACATGTTAGGCAATTTTTTTGAACATTAATGTTTAATATTTTTGTATTTTTAATTTATTTTATTATTTTATATAAAAATAATTTAACAATCCTTACACTA